ACTATTACTCTCTCTGACGCCACTTTCTACCTTCAACAAACATCATTAAGTGATGATTTTTTGGCGCGCTGGGAAGAATCGCTTTTACGCAAGCCACTTCAACGCAGGAAACGCGGCGCGCGTTGTCTGATTAAAGCGAAAGTGTTTGGCGCCATCTGACGGTGTGGTGTGCGTGGTGAGAGGGCATCATGCGAGATCATGAGAAGGTATGGTGCCGGTATGGTGTTTGTGGTGAGAGGGTATCATGTAGACGAGATACGAGGCCATGAGAAGGTATGGTGCGTGTGGTGAGAGGGCATCATGCAAGCGAGATAAAAGACGATGAGGAAGTATGGTGTCGGTATGGTGCGTGTGGTTAGAGGGTATCATGCGAGATACGGGACGATGAGGAAGTATGGTGTCGGTATGGTGTGCGTGGTGAAAGGGTGTCATGTAGACGAGATACGAGACGATGAGGAAGTATGGTATCGGTATGGTGCGTGTGGTGAGAGGGCATCATGCGAGATACGAGACCATGAGAAGGTATGGTGTCGGTATGGTGTTTATGGTGAGAGGGTGTCATGTAAGCGAGAAACGAGACGATGAGGAGGTATGGTGTCGGTATGGTGCGTGTGGTGAGAGGGCATCATGCGAGATACGAGACGATGAGAAAGTATGGTGTCGGTATGGTGCGTGTGGTGAGAGGGAATCATGCGAGATACGAGATCATGAGGAGGTATGGTGTCGGTATGGTGTTCGTGGTGAGAGGGCATCATGCGAGATACGAGATCATGATTAGGTATGGTGTCGATATGGTGTGCGTGATGAGAGGGTGTCATGTAAACGAGATACGATATCATGAGAAGGTATGGTGTCGGTATGGTGCGTGTGGTGAGAGGGTATCATGCGAGATACGAGAACATGAGAAGGTATGGTGTCGGTATGGTGCGTGTGGTGAGAGAGAGTTATGTAAGCGAGATACGATACCATGAGAAGGTATCGTGTTTGTGAAGAGAGGAATGTCATGTAAGCGCGATTGGTAACGATGATAGGGTATATGGTGTCGGCATGGTGTTTGGATGTGGTGAGGGTTTTCGTGCAACCGCTATACCGGATAATATCTGAGTATAGTGTCGGTATAGTGGTTGTAAATGGTGAGGGGGTATCATGCCACTAAGATACGAGTCGAAGGGAAGGTATAGTGTCGCTATCGTGTTTGTGCATGGCGAGGAGTAACATGAAACCATTTTTAAAGATGTTGGGAAGGCATGGTGTCAGTATGTTGTATGTGATGAAAGGGAACCATGCATAGGAGATAAAAAGATGAGAACCTACAATGCTGGCATCGTTCGCTGCGGAAGTGGAAAGAAGTTTTGTCGCAACTTCAAAGTTTGCAAAAACAAGTTTCATTTCCTACACCGATTGTTTTGTTACTATCTGCCGAATAGAAAAAAAAATATTTTCGGAATGAACTAATAAATTGATGAAATTTTAAATTCAAATAAGTTTAAAGCGTTAACTAAATGAATTAGTGAATTGAAGTTATTTCAATTGAAAGTATTTTCTGACAATAACCTTGGCTAAAGGTGATTTTATAGTTATTATATAGGAGTATATTACTTGGAAAACGTTTTATATCTTCGAGTCCAAAAAACGTTTTTTACTCCTGAGTTTAAAAACGATGGTTTCTGGTTGGAACACGTTTCCAAAATTCAATTCAATGTTTTTGCAAGCAAACTTTTATTATTTTTTTTGTTGATGACACAAAAATTGGCCGAGTTAACTTCTCGCTCGAAAGATTTGACACAAAACAATTCATTTTCTTGTTGTATGTAAAAAACAATGGTTGCTGGGGGAATATTTACAATTTTTTCTTGAAGATTGCTCAGCGTTACAACATTGGTTATAAAGATTAATGACCGTTTTTCTTCTAAAGGTTATAACATAATAGCAGATTTGAGAACTGGCACGTTCGCGGCTAAAAAAGTTTTTTTTGCATCAATCCTAAAAACTGGTTACCGTTGCTGCCTCAGATTTTTTCGCACTACTGACCTTCTATCTAAATCAAGTAAATGCATGCAAAAGAAATTTCGCAACAATCTTGTTCCCAACTTGCTTCAGAATTCTATATTTTTGCTCAATCATATAAGATTCTTATGAGTAACCTGCTCGCTAGCACTACAAATATCTAATTTTTCTATAATTTAAGTTATTTTATGGAAAAATTCATGCATCCGACTTAAATTTGAACGGGTTGGTTGAAAAATGTTTCCAAAGCAACTGTGAAGACACGTTATCACATTATTCATAGCTGAATGATATCTTTCAGTTAATCTTACCTCATTAAGTACACTATATACAAGGAAGTAATTCAACATATCATTGCAAAAGAGAACGCACTAAAGCTTGTGAATATCTCTTACTTCTTCATATCATTTCAATGGCCTGAGAACTGGAGCACTCGCCAATTTAAGTCATAATTGAAGTGAAAGCTTATGAAAGACCGATGCTTATCTCGGAGCTGCAATCCCCATAATATCAAAGAGCTCATAGTTTAACATTTATATTCGTTCTGAATTTCATGTATATACGACACAGGAAGAATTTATCATTACAAATGTGTATGCAAATAAAGTAACTTTTATTTAAGTGTAATGAACACAATCTTCGTAGTCAAAGAATTTGATTGATGTGCATCATAGGCAGCACAAAGAGCCAAAAATTAATAAAAAGTTAATAATGGTTTAATAAGATTATTTTAAAATGAGATCGTGTCCGAAACTTTGAGGATTGCATTTTTTATACATAACTACGTACATAACTACGAGCACATAACTACGAAGATAATTTCGATTGCAAAATTTGCCTGAAGCCTCCCTGCATTTACGCATATTTTATCCAACGCCTACATTAATGGAATCTAAATCCCTAACATTTGAGCTACCTTTTATTTTTTGTTCACAACTTCCGTGCATTGACAGCATTTGAAGTCCTTGGATTGTTTATTGAAGAGCTCAGGAAATCGCGGAAACGATGACACTGCAGGTCTTGAATCCCCAAGTCTAGACTTATGAATTGAAATTCATGAATGACTAATATAATATTTTCTGATTAACTTGAGAAACATGAATTTTTATTCATCAGCAACTAACGGTATTTTTTAAAGGGTCATTAAAATTTAATATATATATTTGAGGCGTTTTTTAATGATTGAGAACTTTGAGGATATTAAGAAAAAAACATCGAACTTAATTTAAAATTAACTACGTTTGACCTATTGACCACTTGTTATTACTAAAAACTTGCAGTTGAAGCCCATAATTTGACAGGGCGAGCAAAATTGTAGGTCGAATGTTAACTAACCATCCAGTTATCATTAATGAAAATAGATTGTCAATGTACGTAACCAATACACAAGTTTCATTACTGCTCATTAAAATATACAAAACACCGAAAATCTACAAGGTTGGTATGCAGAGCCAGAGTCAATGCATGCATGTACAACTCACTGAATTGTACAAAACACCGAAAATCTACAAGTTTGGTAGACAGAGCCAGAGTCAATGCATGCATGTACAACTCACTGAATTGTACAAAACACCGAAAATCTACAAGTTTGGTAGACTGAGCCAGAGTCAATGCATGCATCATCGATGCATGTACAACTTCACTGAATTGTACAAAACACCGAAAATCTACAAGTTTGGTAGGCAGAGCCAGACTTGAGAGGCCCATCTTGATGGCGGGAAAGTCGCGAGAGGTGAAGGCTACGAAGCGCAACTTAGGCGATCGCTCCTTTCCCGCGCTGACGCAATGGCGCGAGCTGCGGCAACCGCCAGCCTTGGGCTGCGCAGCTGCGCTTGTAACGCGGCTTTCGCGTATTTTGAAATACTTTAATTTACTTGTCCTGTGGCTCTTCACTTAGTACTTTGATACTTATCCTGACCATCATTTCAGGGTAAGCTATAATCGATTGTGTCATTCTGGATTATGAATTCTCTTTAGATGCGACGCGAAGTGACTTTTGTCTCGGCAGGAGACATTTTAATGACAATCACTACTGTGTAAAGTATTTTCCATCGATATTTTTCGATATAATTTAATGCATATTATTATGATGTTTCCATTTAATAGTGACTACCGTCTTTTGCATTGTTTACAAAATGCAAGAGATTTCTAACTTTTCGTTAGGAAAAACCTCTTAACTCAACACAACCATACTGTCCCCTCTAAGTGGGGGGCAAAGGTGACGGAACAGATGTCTGATTTGGCCCATACGAAGGTGCCTCAGCCGTACGGCGAATCCTGAGAGAGAAAGGGAAATGCTATTCGATTACAACAACAACAACAACAACAATAATTTGATTTTTTTTTCAGGAGGCCAATGCGCGGATTAGAAATGATCAATTAACCAATGGAGTGTACTGTAAAATAATTGGTTTTCGATCGCCGATCTCTTTCTGCTAATGCTGATCTCTTTCTGCTAATGCTGATCTCTTTCTGCTAATGCTGATCTTTCCCAACAGACTAATTTCTAGATGATTTATGCTGAGACAGAAAGTGTAATAAGGTGTACATGACAACGGTTTTATTTATTTTTTTTCTGCTCACAGGCAACCAAAATCGCGTGGGTCGTTTTGGCGGTGACCATCTTCGCCAGCGGCTCATATGGTGACAAGGGAGGTGGAGGTGGTGGTGGATACGGTGGCGGTGGCGGTGGATTTGGTGGAGGTGGACACGGAGGTGGTGGTGGATACGGTGGAGGTGGACATGGCGGTGGTGGCGGTGGATATGGTGGAGGTGGACATGGCGGTGGTCACAGCGTTGGGTATGGAGGAGGTGGACATGGTGGAGGTGGCGGTGGATACGGAGGCGGTGGTGGACACCAGCCTGTGCTATACAGACTCGTCAGAGTTGGCGGTGGTGGAGGTGGTAAAAAGGGAGGACGTGGAGGCGGAAAGAAAGGTGGTGGATTCGGTGGTGGCGGAAAGAAAGGAGGCGGTGGTGGTGGTTATCGAGTGATGAGCTACGGAGGCGGTGGAGGCGGCAAGAAGGGTGGTGGTTTTGGTGGTGGCGGAAAGAAGGGAGGTGGTGGTGGTGGTTACGGTGGTGGAGGTGGAAAGAAAGGCGGTGGTGGCGGTGGTTACGGTGGTGGAGGTGGGAAGAAGGGCCGTGGTTTTGGCGGTGGTGGAAAGAAAGGCGGTGGTTTCGGTGGTGGAGGAAAGAAGGGTGGAGGTGGCCAGCGGTACAGAGTCATAAGGCTGGTGCCCGTCAGCGGTGGATACGGCGGAGGTGGCGGTGGCGGTTACGGTGGTGGTGGTGGTGGTGGAGGAGGATACGGTGGTGGTGGCGGAGGATGGTGAAGAGGTGGATTAGCCTCAACTTATATTGTGTAGTTATTGCTCAGTACGTTGTGATGAATTCTCAGGAGAATTTCAGCGGAGTACGTTGAACAGCCATTCTTTAACAACGAACTTCGATAAATCAATATCAAAGTTGCATAATCTTTGAAAATGAATCAGTTGAGCGCGAAATCCCTTGACTGTTCAAAATATAATTAGAATTCAATGTTTGGAAGATAGTATAATACTCAGTAAAAATGTCAGGAATGTTTTGAAGCAATTGAGCTGTCAAATTCATAAGCTGCAGCTATTAAGTGTGTAATAAGCCGTCATGTAAATTTTACACTTGCGTTCTATGCAATTTCCTACTACTGAAGCGAGGAGGCATACGCATGGCCGATATTTCATCAAAAAAAGTTTGGAATATTTCCCAAAAGTTTTGAATATTTTTCTTTGTAGAAATATTGGTCATGGATCTAAATTATTGTAGTTATTGTAGGAAAACGAAACAGTTTTATGTTTCCGGTTTTCATTAGACGGTGAGCAAAATTTGCGATGAGATTCTTAAATTAATAAAACGGAAATTGATTATTTTAATAATGTCAGGCTGGCCTCCCCAATATTGTTACAAAGTTTCGTTTTTAACGTTCCTAATCGGGGTTTATTTTTTTTATTGTAAATTTAAATCAATAATTTGAATTATCTGCTTTTGATTGATTTAATTTAATTATCTCTAATTTTCATTGCATACTAAATATTAACAGGAAATTGAACCACTATGTATAGCGAAATGTCTGTTAAATATTAAAATGTCTACTTCTTTCATTTAGTTATTGTACTATAATAGATCTGTAGCACTTGGACCTTTGCAAGCGTTAAACATGACATCGTTTATCTCTAAAACTAAACGATTGGATCGCCACGAAGAGATTCTGTACCTAACGGAAAACCAAAATAGTGTAATGGAAAATCAAAATAGTATTGCTGATATAGATTGTTTGTATCTTGTTCAAAAAATAGTAGAATTAAATTTCCGACTTGCAAATTCTAATTCAATTGGATCACGTCCAAAGAATTACATTATTCATGCATATCCATAACTCAACAGACTGCTAGTCCTTCACCTGTAAATAATGTTGTACAATTCACTGTTTCGGCAAGACCTTTACATGCTTCTTCGACATCATCTCTGTACCAATCTAACTCATGTATTTTGTGAAGTGTTATTCAACCCCACAAGTGAACTCACCATCGTACTCATCACCGAGCTGTAAAAAAATATTTTAAATAATTTTCTGATGCAAAATTACCGATATTTAGATTTTTCTGATAAATAGTGTTTCAATTTTCCAGAAGCTTGAGGTATTTTAAATTCTGTAAAATGAATCTGTTAATTATAAATATAAAATAGGTGTCATTTAAACATGGTATTCGTTAAATAAATTCATTTGTCGTCATGCATCCAGTAGAGACCAGACAGATTTGATCAGAAGTTTGTTCCTGTGTTTCCTACATGTCAGTTATGTGCTATAAGTAGTTAATAAAAATTTAATGTTGTTAGGAGTTTTATCCTTACCTTTTATATGGTGATAATTGATTTGTATTTCTGATGTATGAGTCGTTTTCCAATTGATACGATGACCTTTTACTGAGTAACTTTGTGTCATTTGAATTATTCCAAAGCTCTCCTGCACTTGGCAGGTCGTTATGTTTGGATATGTGTGTCAGTCCCAAAGGTTTAAAGATGAATAAAAGCGCAATAAATATTTTGGTATGATTTTTCCTGGTCGGATTCAACATATGTGATAGGGAGTTGAAGCGGCTTAAAGGTCTAATTCATTTGGTAATTAGAAATGTAGAGAACAGAACATGAAACGAAAAATTCCCAGATGTTGAACTTTTACGCACATTGTAGAAGATGAAGAACAGCAACAGTTGAAAATTCACATGATTACAATACGGTCGACGTATTGGAATCGGTATGAATCGCAACGGTATATTGGAATAATACGTAACGGAATGAATCGACAGTAATTGGACGTAATACGTAACGGAATGAATCGACAGTATATTGGACGTAATACGTAACGGTATGAATCGACAGTATATTGGACGTAATACGGAACGGTATGAATGGACAGTATATTGGACGTAATACGTAACGGTATGAATCGACAGTATACTGGACGTAATACGTAACGGTATGAATCGACAGTATATTGGACGTAATACGTAACGGTATGAATGGACAGTATATTGGACGTAATACGGAACGGTATGAATCGACAGAATATTGGACGTAATATACGGAACGGTATGAATCGATAGTATAATGGAGGAAAAGTGTGCACTTTATCGGCATCACTAACAACGAGCAAAGTAACGTCATATAACAGCAGATCTCAGCTGACAACGAGTGCGTATTGACGACGGCCGCCTTCTGGCCATGATTTTGGAACATGCCAAGATCGCTAAGATTTCCGCCGTGGCTTTGATTTTGATATATTTCAATGAAATCTATCTCTTCGCATTGTGCGCGGACTTTATTGGAATATTTGGGAATAGCCGGTGAGCTACAACGTCTCTTATACTTTGAAAGAACATTATGTTTTCGACCAAAATACTGAAATTTATATCGAAATGTGAGGTAAAAAGCCAAAATGATTACACAGCGGAGCTAATTAGTATTTGAACAAGCTATGTGAGAAGCTTTCCTGAGCATACTACCGAAAATTGAAATTATACAATCGAAATTCACTTCAACCAATTGAAATATTTACTACTAAGAACGTATACGTGGCGATAGCATCTTTATGCTTAGCTAAATATTGTTTATTCACATATTAGGGAACACAATCGCTAATAGACTTTAATGTTCAATTTATTGCTGAAATAATGCCCGACAGATGTTATTTTCTTCGCTAACTAGAATTATTATAAAGCTTTACTAGCACTCTTTCACTAGAACTTCTTCTATCAAAGAAACATGGGCTAACAGTAGAAAACAAAGATTTAATTATATTCTATATCATCAAAGATTAATTGGATTTTTAAAGAAACATTCAGAAAGTATATTAGTAAAAGATCGATTAGAAGAATTTGAAGTAATTTAAATTGCAAATTATTAAATTTAATCACCCGTATAGGGCAAAGGATAGAAGCGGTAGAAAAAAATATTATCTTTCTATTACATTATCGTCCAGAGAATAAACAAAAGAAGTATGACGAAAACATACATTCGCGATGGAAGATGAAGAAGACTAGAGAAAACATCTACGCGACGAAATGAATTATTTAAAATAATTTTGAAGTTATGGCGTTAAGGCACTGCACATCGTTAACAGAAATTGCTTGGTATCAACAACCAAGAAAACAGAAATTGCTTGGTAGCAATTTCTGCACAATTAAGACACGCGGCCACGGTTAGTAACATAACACTTCGACATTGAAAGTTTAAAATTACAGTGATAGGATATACGGATAATTATCACTCAAACGAGTCGCATAATAATTCGGCCTTGATAGTGTTTGAATTTCAGTGGGTTAATTGTTTTAATCATTAAATGAGTCATCTATTTGATGTTTTTCGCAAAAGAAATAACATAGAACATTTGACCTCAGCCGTCAAATTGTGCGTGTTTTCAACAAATTTGGGAGAAAGTAAAATGCTGTGCGGACCAAAACTGAAACAGAGTAATCCAACGATTATCAAAGCACAGTAAAAATAATCACTGATAAGTGAAAAATCGTATAATTATTGCAGGGCGATTACGATAAAATTGAATGGCTTTACTATAAAATTAATGAACATCGAACGCCATCTGCCGGGAACCACGGTTCAGCCTCAATGAGGTGGTGGTGGACAGTCCCTCAGTCGGCTGCGAACACGCTACCTTTAGTCCAGTCAATTTCTGGCCTTGGCATGTTTTGGCCGTCAACACGCTACTATTACACCAGATCAGTTCTGCTTGTAGCCTGTACCAGCCGTTGGAGCGCTGTTCTTACACCAGTCCAGTTCTACTTTTAGCCTATATCAGCCGCTGGAGCGCTGTTCTTACACCAGTCCAGTTCTACTTTTAGCTTGTGCCAGCCGTTGGAGCACTGTTCTTACACCAGTCCAGTTCTGCTTCTAGCCTGTACCAGCCGCTGGAGCGCTGTTCTTACACCAGTCCAGTTCTACTTTTAGCCTGTACCAGCCGCTGGAGCGCTGTTCTTACACCAGCCCAGGTCTGCTTTCTTACAACAGTCCAGTTCTGCTTCTAGCCTGTACTAGCCGTTGGAGCGCTGCTCTTACACCAGTCCAATTCTGCTTTCTTACACCAGTCCAGTTCTTACACCAGCCTGCACCAGCTGTTGTAGCGCTGTTCTTACACCAGTTCAGTTCTGCACCTTCACACTGGCCGCAGGTTCATGGCTCCAGTGCTGCTCTCAATGCAGACCGCGCCGTTAGTCTTGCTCATCGAAAGTTTACGCGCGCGCCCGCGGGATTAGGACGCTGATTACCTTCGTCCGGCGGTCGACTGGTAATTCGAAGATCTTTTGGGGTACAAACGGCAAAACAACGTCGGCAAAATGGCCAGAAGGGCCTTGTCCGACAACACAATTTTCCATCGCATCGGATGCGATGCTCGAACGAAATAGCCTTCGAAATTGCTCGAGGTTTCATATGAACCCAAACTTGCTAACCATAACACTTTGGTTTGAAGAAGTTGCTATTAGGAGCCATGTAATCGAAAATTTTCATGCAACTTCATTTGTGATTTATAATTCAGGTGCAAAGTTTGGTAATACTCACCCTTGAGCAAACAAGAATTTTTTGGAAGATTTGTTAATACGAGCTGTGGGAATTTGAAATATCAAAATCTTATGGAAATTCAGAATAACTTAGCTTAATTGATTAATTTAACTAATTAACTGTCATTAAAAAGTGATTCTCCCTCGCCATTGCGCTCGGTCAATAGATTTTTAAAGTATTTTTAGATTAACTGGAACGACGTAATTCGAAGTTTGTGTTATTTTAAGCGTTAGCCATAGCAAGCGGTCGAGAAAATATAAATAATAAAAAAGGGTTGTTTTAAATATAATACGTCACTGAGTAAATTCTACGTAGCCAGCGATCATTATTCAGTTAATACTTCAATTTGGGGAAGGAAATCCAAGTTCGGTTCTAACGTGCATTGTTTTAGAACCGCACAGTTCCTGTTATTGTGAGCGCTCAACTGACGGATTATCGAAGAATCTCGCAGATTCACTGGATTCTGAGGTCTAAAAGCGGAGATAATTTTGAAGGCCGTTGCTTCGAGTGCGTGGGCTTTGTACCTTTTAATTATTCACAATGATCAAGGCCAATAAGTTTAAAAGTTTTTAAGACTAAATTTATTCTTAATACATTTTACAAAGACTTGTAAGATGAAAACGAAGCTGTTATTCTGCAATTAATCACCATTTTTATGATAACTAAGCATTGATTTTTTTGCGGGCAGCAATAAAAAATGTATACCTCCTCATTTAACGAGGCAAATTTGTAGAGAAATAATGTATTGATTTTATAATCGCACTCATACAATCGCGAACGAGATTGCTTGATGCTGGATACATAAAAAACCAACTACTGTCATTGAGTGAACATTTCCAAAAGATTTTAATTCAATAATTGCTTAAAAATTACGGCTCTATTCGAATATTCGATCATGGAAAATACTTATGAACAGCATCCTTGAACAGAGTATGAATTATCAAACTCGATTTTACGAGTGCAAGATCAAAAATAGAATACAAATATTGCATCAATTCATGCATAATGCCCATGACCATATGCTGACTTAACATATGTCAGACGTCACTCAATTCAACACTATTACTCTCTCTGACGCCACTTTCTACCTTCAACAAACATCATTAAGTGATGATTTTTTGGCGCGCTGGGAAGAATCGCTTTTACGCAAGCCACTTCAACGCAGGAAACGCGGCGCGCGTTGTCTGATTAAAGCGAAAGTGTTTGGCGCCATCTGACGGTGTGGTGTGCGTGGTGAGAGGGCATCATGCGAGATCATGAGAAGGTATGGTGCCGGTATGGTGTGCGTGTGATGAGAGGTTTCATGTAAGCGAGATACGAGACCATGAGAAGGTATGGTGTCGGTATGGTGCGTGTGATGAGAGGGTGTCATGTAAGCGAGAAACGAGACCATGAGAAGGTATGGTGCCGGTATGGTGTGCGTGATGAGAGGGCATCATGCGAGATACGAGACGATGAGAAAGTATGGTGTCGGTATGGTGTGCGTGGTGAGAGGGTATCATGCGAGATACCAGATCATGAGAAGGTATGGTGTCGGTATGGTGCGTGTGGTGAGAGGGTATCATGCGAGATACCAGATCATGAGAAGGTATGGTGTCGGTATGGTGCGTGTGGTGAGAGGNGGTTACGGTGGTGGAGGTGGAAAGAAAGGCGGTGGTGGCGGTGGTTACGGTGGTGGAGGTGGGAAGAAGGGCCGTGGTTTTGGCGGTGGTGGAAAGAAAGGCGGTGGTTTCGGTGGTGGAGGAAAGAAGGGTGGAGGTGGCCAGCGGTACAGAGTCATAAGGCTGGTGCCCGTCAGCGGTGGATATGGCGGAGGTGGCGGTGGTGGTGGTTATGGTGGTGGTGGTGGTGGTGGAGGCGGATACGGTGGTGGTGGCGGAGGATGGTGAAGAGGTGGATTAGCCTCAACTTATATTGTGTAGTTATTGCTCAGTACGTTGTGATGAATTCTCAGGAGAATTTCAGCGGAGTACGTTGAACAGCCATTCTTTAACAACGAACTTCGATAAATCAATATCAAAGTTGCATAATCTTTGAAAATGAATCAGTTGAGCGCGAAATCCCTTGACTGTTCAAAATATAATTAGAATTCAATGTTTGGAAGATAGTATAATACTCAGTAAAAATGTCAGGAATGTTTTGAAGCAATTGAGCTGTCAAATTCATAAGCTGCAGCTATTAAGTGTGTAATAAGCGGTCATGTAAATTTTACACTTGCGTTATATGCAATTTCCTACTACTGAAGCGAGGCATACGCATGGCCGATATTTCACCCAAAAAAGTTTTGAATAGTTTCCAAAAGTTTTGAATATTTTTCTTCGTAGAAATATTGTCATGGATCTAAATTATTGTAGTTATTGTAGGAAAACGAAACAGTTTTATGTTTCCGGTTTTCATTAGACGGTGAGCAAAATTTGCGATGAGATTCTTAAATTAATAAAACGGAAATTGATTATTTTAATAATGTCAGGCTGGCCTCCCCAATATTGTTACAAAGTTTCGTTTTTAACGTTCCTAATCGGGGTTTATTTTTTTTATTGTAAATTTAAATCAATAATTTGAATTATCTGCTTTTGATTGATTTAATTTAATTATCTCTAATTTTCATTGCATACTAAATATTAACAGGAAATTGAACCACTATGTATAGCGAAATGTCTGTTAAATATTAAAATGTCTACTTCTTTCATTTAGTTATTGTACTATAATAGATCTGTAGCACTTGGACCTTTGCAAGCGTTAAACATGACATCGTTTATCTCTAAAACTAAACGATTGGATCGCCACGAAGAGATTCTGTACCTAACGGAAAACCAAAATAGTGTAATGGAAAATCAAAATAGTATTGCTGATATAGATTGTTTGTATCTTGTTCAAAAAATAGTAGAATTAAATTTCCGACTTGCAAATTCTAATTCAATTGGATCACGTCCAAAGAATTACATTATTCATGCATATCCATAACTCAACAGACTGCTAGTCCTTCACCTGTAAATAATGTTGTACAATTCACTGTTTCGGCAAGACCTTTCCATGCTTCTTCGACATCATCTCTGTACCCATCTAACTTATGTATTTTGTGAAGTGTTATTCAACCCCTAAAGTAAACTCACCATCGTACTTATCACCGAGCTGCCTTAAATGTAAAAAATCATTTTGAATAATTTTCTGAAGCAAAATTACCGACTATTTAGATCTTCTTGATAAATAGTATTTCAATATTCCAGTAGCTTGGGGTACTTTAAATTCTGTCAATTGAATTTGTTAATTATAGCTGTAAAATAGGTGTAATTTTAAACATGAAATTCGTTCAATGAATTTATTTGTCGGTATCAATAGAGACCTGACAGATTTTGTCAGAAATTTATTCATGTGTTTCCTACTTGTCGGTTATGTGCAATAGTTAGTTAATAAACATTTTCTGTTAGTAGGAGTTTATCCGTACCTTTTACATATGGTGATATTTCATTTGCATTTCTGATGTACGAGTCAATTTCAATTGATACGATGACTTTTTACTGCGTAATTTTGTGTCATCAGAATTATTCCAAAGCTCTCCTGCACTTGGCAGGTCGTTATGTTTGAATATGTGTGTCATTCCCAAAGGTTTAAAGATGAATAAAAGCACGATAAATATTTTCGTATGATTTTTCCTGGTCGGAGTCAATAATATGTGATAGTGAGTTGAAGCGGCTTAAACGTCTAATTCATTTGATTATTTGCAATGTAAAGGAAAGAACATGAATACGAAAAAAGTTTACTGATGTCGAATCTTAACGCATAGCGTAGAAGATGAAGTAGCAGCAATAGTTTTAATCGCAACGGTATATTAGAATAACTCGTAACGGTATGAATCGACAGTACATTGGACGTAATACGTAACGGTATGGATCGGCAGTATAATGTATAGGCAAGCGGGCACTTTATCGTCATCACCCACAAATAAAGTAACGTCATCATACCAAGCTTGCAGATTGTCATTTGCAGATTCGTCATTAAACGACTGATCTTCGCTGGCAACGCGTGCGTTGCATGTTTTGACGATGACAGCCTTCTTGCCTTGATTTTGGAACATGACACATCGTTCTAGGCAGCCAAGATTTCCGCCGTGGCTTAGATTTTGATATATTTAAGTGATATCAATCTGTCTGCATTGTGCTTTAACTTAACGGGAATATTTGTAAATAGCCGGTGACCTATAACGTTGCCTATGCATCGATAGAACATTATAAGTATGTTTCCTACCTAAATATTATTACATCAGGTAGGTACCGAAACTTATATAGAAGTTTCAGGCATTTGAGGTTAAAAGCCAAAATGAATAAACAGCGGAAGCTAAATAGTATTTGAAGAAGCACTGTGAGAAGCTTACTTGAAAATACTACCGAAAATTGAAATTTATACAATCACAATTCACCCCAAACAAATGAAATACTTACTACTTAGAATTTACGTGAAGATAGCAGCTTTATGCTTAGCTAAGTATTGTTCATTTACACTCTAGGGAACACAACTGCTACTAGATTTTAATGGGCAATTTATTACGGAAATGATGCCCGAGAGATTTTATTTTTTTCGTTAACTAGAATTATTATAAAGATTTACTAGCACTGAAGGTACTCCTTCACTAGAACTTCTATCAAAGAAACATGGGCTAACAGTGGAAAAGAAATATTTAATTATATTCTATTTCATAGAAGATTAATTAAAATTTTAAAAGAAACAATCAGAAAACATATTCGTGAATGATAGATGAGAAGAATTAAAATTAATTTAGTTTACGAATAATTAAATTTTATCACCCTCAAAGGAAAGGACAGACAAATTAAGAAAATATATGACCATTTTGGCAGAAGATGTAGGAAAAATATTATTTATGTTATATTTTTGTCCAGATAAAAACAAAAAAAGTATGACGAAAACACACATTCTTGATGGATGTTAAAAAAGACTGGAGAAGACATGAACCCGACGAAATGAATCATTTTAAATAATTGTGAAATTGAGGCATTGCATTTCGTTAACAGAAATTGTTTGGCATCAGTAACCAAGTAAACAGAAATTGCTTGGTATCAGTAATCAAGCTAGCAGAAATTGCTTGGTATCAGTAATCAAGCTAGCAGAAATTGCTTGGTATCAGTAACCAAACAAACAGAAATTGCTTGGTATCAGTAACCAAACAAACAGAAATTGCTTGGTATCAGTAACCAAACAAACAAAAATTGCTTGGTATCAGTAACCAAACAAACAAAAATTGCTTGGTATCAGTAACGAAACAATTTCTGCACAAGACACGCGGCCACGGTTAGTAACACAACACTTCGACATTGAAAGTTTAAAATTTCCGTGATTAAAAGATACACGGATAATTAACCTCCAAGTGTGTCGCTTCATAATTGGCCGTACATTTTTTGAATTTTAGTGTTTTTTAATCATTAAATGAGTCATATATTTGATATCGTTCGCAAAAGAAATGACATGAAACATTTGACCACAAGAGCTCACTCCTGTCCCTCAGCCATTAGTATTTGAGCGTTATCAACAAATTTGGCAGAAAGTGGAATACAGTAGGGACCAAAACTAAAATAAAGTAATCAAATGATTAACAAAGCACAGTAAAAATCATCTCTGATAAGTAAGTGAAAAATTGTATAGTTACTGCAGGGCGATTACGATAAAACTGAATGAATTTAACATAAAAATAATGAACATCAAACGGCATCTGCCGGGAAGCAGGGTTCAGCTTCAATATGTCTACCCTCAGAACAATAAATGGGACTGTCTAAATAGTGATGCACTTCACGTCCCAGTGCGCTTCATCCTGACCCAGCTACATACTTGAAAAGAACACATCAGAGCTACCCGCAGAAAGTGCGTCACTATTCGTATAATTTCACCCATCATATTTCTGAGTGTAAGAGCCATTTCCCAGCCCACTTTCTTCCTAACATTCAACGTGACAACGCTACTCTGCTTTAGTGCAAAGGTGGACAGAATTTACGCAAATACAGCAAGATACGCGTACATTCCCTCGCAGGGCATGATATTAAAGTTTTACAGTATGTCAACATTACAGCTGAATGCTCCCTGTTAATCCACATTCGTTGGCAAGCATCCACTTAGATTATTGAGAAGTCTTTTAACGCTGGTCTTATCGTTGTAATTTAAGGGAAGACCACGTCTCTACAAGAAAATTTTTTGTTTCGAGAGATAGAATTTAGAGTTAAGAAGTCTGGTCTTTTCAGGTAAGCTGATATTATGTAATCTAATTTTGATTACATTACCTTTAAAACAACATACTGCAGCATTATAAGCATTTGGCTAACAGAAATAGTGGCCTAAAATTGAAAGTATATTATTTAGTTTTCCCTCTTCAGAAATTTCCGAACTGTCCCGGAGGTTTGTATGCACATTAGAGTTTTCAGAATTTCCTGTAGCTCGAATAAAATTTTGTGGACACGATTTTTCCGGCATTGAATTTAGCGCCATTACTGAGAATAAATTTAGAATAAAATCTGAATGGACATCCTATGCAAATCACCGCTGGTCTTCTGTTTTTTTTTTATCGCCACACGCGAGCCATGGCAGTTCTCTAACGAAATAAATTAAATATTCAAGACTTTTTGAAGCGGTTTTATAGTTCTGTGAACGGTCGACTCCCTGGTCGTTTGTGCATAATTTTCTATTCAACATTGCGAATAAATGTTTACATAAACATAACACGTGCTGGCAGAGCTATTAGTGGCAGCATCATATATAAATAAATACATACTCATTTCGTCAGACTAACAGTAATGAAATTGGAGTTTATAGTTAGAATTTTCTCCTGTCCTTGTTTTTAATAATTACCTAAAGTCAATATATAGAGTTCTTCTTGCAAAAGTTTTGA